CTTCCTGTCCGACCGCAGCAGGACAGTCATCGCAACGCGGGGACAGAGACAGGACGACAATCACCCCTCACACACATGCACGCACACATGCACGCACACACACACACTCCACAGGTAAAGATGGTACAGTTTGTCCCACCCTTTTTCACAGTTGCCTCATTTTCCTTCATTTTCCTCGAACACGTCAAATGTTTGACGGTAAAGTTAGAAACACGAGCAGAAAAACATACGGAGAGCCTGAAAGTCTTCATCGATGAAGATCAAACAAACAAAGCGTGCTGTGAAGAACAGCGACACGTTCTGAACGTTTGGATAATCTGAAAGCTTCCAGATGAGTGTGAACATCTGTTGCTGCCTCCAGAGCTTCTGAAAAAAGCTCAAAGCATCTCCAGAAGTTTCAGGTTTTTATCTAATTATGAGATGATGATACCAAACATCTGTAAGGCCCAACATCTGGCTACGTGAATGGATTTAAATCACATTTATTCTGTTGGTGGGTCAAGATGATCCAAAACTCAAAAAACAAACCCTCAACATTTAATTAATTATTAGTAGTTTTGTAGATTATTTTAATACTTTATCATTTAAAAAAACAGGATTTAACAATTTAGATTACATGTTTGACATTTAACCATTTGCCTCATATGAACCGTAGGAAAGATATTTTAAATTTTGGATTATTGACTGAATCTTAGCCCCCCCCCCCCCCCCCCCCCCCGTCTAAACCTTTGTGTGTTGTGAACTGGAGCGAAGAATCTAAACACATTTGTCGAGGGTTGAAGTTGAAGTTTGAAAAGTGTGAGATGTGATTTCTAGAAAACAATTTATCCTCACAATGTTCAGTCAGGTCATCTGGACGGTTTCTTTTGTTGAGACGTTTCATCCTTCATCCGAAGAACTTCTTCAGTCTGAGGAGCCCACAAAACCAAACTGAATCCCACAAACAGCTCTTTAACCAGCAAACTGTTTTTTCCCCCCCCCCCACGCTGGAGGTGAGACGTTTCTGGGATTCAGTTGGTTTTTGGTGGGCTCCTCAGACTGAAGAAGTCCTTCGGACGAAGGACGAAACATCTCGGCAACAAAAGAAACCATCCAGATGACCTGACTGAACATTGTTGGATTTATACTTGGATAAATGAGCATGAACTTTGGTGGTTTACTCTCACGTTTGATCTTGTGTCCCGTTGTCGACCAGTTAAACAGAACGTCACTTTGACACATGGATGTGACCAAAACATCTGGAGAGGTGGACGGACTCTCACTCTCCTTTATCACTGCACCTCCTTTAGGCAACAATAAAACAACCGGATAGTGTTGGGACCTTCTTGAAGTGGGGGGAGGAGGAGAAAAGTAAATTTAGGTTTACTGCAACTGATATTATGACAACGTTCAACAATAACACAATCACGGGTTTTCTTAATCTCATGCAGCTGGATTCAGGATGTGGCTGATTATCAAAGGTGATCATGAGAAGAACGGGTTTGAAGACAGAACTGAACCTGGATACGGTTTTTACAAACTTTACTTTATGTACAACCTGCTTACACGTTGAATGGACCACACACACACACACACACACACACATTATCATTAGAAGATAAACTTCTTGAAATATAGTACCAACTCTACTTCAGTGCACTCGCACGTCTCATTTAGACCCAGGAAAGACGCCGTGTCCCGTCACGACCAGGTGATGGTCTTCTCCGTTCCCATGGTAACCTGGCTGGAATGTCAGAGCACAACACACACTCACTCATTCCCACACACACAATTCACAGGTAGACATCATGGTTCTCCAGAGGACGGACGGGTCAGAGGTGTGTGTGCGTGTGTGAGAGGAGGAGGAGGAGCCTGGAGGTGTTCAGGTCCTTCATCGCGTCCCTCGATGTTAGCGGTTCATTCTGACCTTTGAGCCCCGCTTGTTGAGGCACACAAAAAGTGTAAATGGGTGTAGCTTTACAGGTCAGGGAGTCAAACGGGTGTGTGAAGGGACAACATGCATGTCTGACGTGTCTGCAAGTGCTAAAGTGTGCGTGTGCCTTCAACACTTGACCTTTGTGTGACCTCAGCAGCAGACGATATTAAAAGTCTGTTATCGTCTATTTTCTTCTCGTGGCCGATAAGTGTCTGCAGGCCTCAGTCAGTCAGAGGCTCAGGGTCCACAAAACTCTAAACTAAAACTAAAACAGGTCCGTATGTCATAGAGTGGAGCCGTTCAGGAGGCACACCTCCTCGTCCTCGCTGTTGTCTCCTTCCTCCCCCCTGCTGTCCTGGAAGGAGCGGATCAGTTGAACATGATGGACTCTGGATCTAGGTTTGCCATTTGAGCCATGTGACGAAGGATATCTTTTTTTGTGATAATACCAAGCAGGCGCCTGCAGGAGGAGACAAAGAGGAGGAACAGAAACACTGAGAATCATTAGGAGGTTATGGAGGTCTCAAGCTGCAGAGAAAGGGAAAAAATAAAAACATGTTTTTGTTGGCAGCTTTTGTAAACAACAACAAAAAAAGACGATGTTTTCTTTAAAAGAGAAGCCGAAGATTTGTATTCGTTCACCGTTGGTTAATTGTTTACCAGTTATTAAAATCAATGCCAACAAAAACACGAGTCCCCCCCCGGAGAGGCTGCAGTTAGGAGGAGGAGGTGAGTAACTTCAGGAGAGAGGAGTGAAAGCGGGTCAGAACCAGCATCTAGAGCAGGGTGTCCTTTCAAACAGCGCCCGCTCTGTTTAGATCAGAGTTCAAAGATGGTACAAGACCTGGACCCTACAGGCAGGAGAGAGGTTAGGAGTTTAGAGAAGCAGCAGCTGGGAGACGCCACCTTCACACGAGTCAGAAGCTGAAAGGGGCTTTTATACCTTTTAGTTATTTTAGGATCTTTTTCTCAATTTCAAGCTCTTATTTTGGTGATCATGTCCAGATATGAAAACGGAGCCAATGAAAAATAATAATACAAGAGTACCGCATATAACACATTAAACACCCATCGACAAACAACTAAACAACAATACAGCGATCTACAGCAAGGAGCAGGACAAGCAAAGACCCTGTATAACCTTTGACCTTGATTTGTGACCTTGCATCAAGTTTCGTTAAAACTCACTTCATTTCATTCAGAAGCTATGAGCAGGACAAGAGAAAGTTTATAGACGTACAGACACTGGACCATAATATGTCCTCCTTCAACGGGCGTATAAAATAAATAAATAATAAAAGAAGTTCTTTAAAGTAGTCGCACTTTACTTCGCGGTCCGACGTTCACGGACTCTCTTTCGCAGTTTTTCAACAATTGTCACCTTTAATGTTACTCACGTGATTGGGACGGTGCGGGATAAAAAGTTAACGAAAATAAATAAATACTTAGGACTGGCACCACCATTTTGTAGTTTTCTTTCAATAAGCCTACACTGTAACGCCACTTAAAAGAACTACACTACCCAGAAGCCAACAGTGCTTCCAGACACTGCTTTCTGCTGCAATGGAGGGAAAGTTTAGCAAAGTCAGAAATAATCTATTAAGATCACAGAACTGGCAGGAAAGTCTCAAATAATTCTGAAGCTGAACTCATCCTTCAAGTTGTAGTATCTTCACAGGTGAGTATCTATAAAACTTTGCAGTACTGTAAAATACATATACGTATGTTGTTAAAATTATATAGGTTTAAGAGTTTAGAACATTGCAAGAGTGTGGGAAGGGTTTCTAAAGCCTTAAAATATACACAAATACTAAAATAAATAGTGTTCCTACTTAGCGGTTTTTCACCTATCGAGGTGGTATCTGCAACGTAACCCTCACGATCATTGGACTACTGTATTTCTAAAGTGTACTCCAGTAGATCAGCTCTTAGACGTGGAGGCGTCTGCCCAGGCGGGAACAAACCATTCCAAGATAGGTACGTCGTGGCCGGAGGTTGTCAAGAATACAATTACGCAAAAATGGGCTGTGATTTTTAAAAACAGGCCGAGCAAAGCAACCACAGCAGTCACATTTCACAACAACGACAGACCACCACGACCTGACTCAAAGCCCTCTGTGCTCCATCAGGAGCCCTCCTGTTCCTACTTCCAGGACAACAGACGACCTCGCACAGAACATTCAAGCTCCGGCTGCTTTTACATCATCATCCAGTGTAAAGGAGCTCTTAGATAGTATGTGACAGGACATAAAGTACTTCAAGGGGGAAACAACCAACCTGAACACATTAGTAGTGAAGATGTGACTGCTTGTGATAAATGTTCTCTAAGCTCTGGTGTAGATATTTTAAATCAGGAAATGACCTTCACAACATCAAATATTAGGTCCAAACAGTGATACTAGGCCTGTCACCATAACAAATTTTGCTGGGCGATTAATTTTCTCAGAAATTATTGCAATAAACGATAATATTGTTTGAATTATTGTCAAATTTAAGAAGAAATGTTTGTTAATTTGTTTTGCGCTAGTACTTTTTTGACCACTAGATGGCAGTATAAGACTGTTTGAACTGAAGGATGGATAGTGAGGGAGCGACAAGCGTCTTTTAAAAAAAATGGGAGGGAGGTCCCTTGACGTGACACTTCTGTTCTCAAAATGGCGGACGCTCGGTGTGGTTTGAGCATTTTAGCATAGCAGTTTTCACAAAAAGCTTTTAATTAAACATCAGTAAACAAGTTCTCAGCTTTTTGTTGCAGAGAAAAACAACTTTTTACACAAAGGCACGGGTTTCGACTGTGAAATTTGGAGCTTCGACAAGACAGAGACATTTTCCCCCTGAGGCCGGCCTGTTAGCTTAGCTCGTACCTTAGCTTCTCAGCTTAGCTGCTTTTAACGATCCAAAAACGTGATTTTGGATCATTAAACATATTTTAAAGAGAAAAGAGAAAGGGCGGGGTCAGTGAAGAACACCAGAGTTGAGTCTTTTGTCATCCAGTTTTACAGTGAACAGTTTCTGACTCCTGCGATTTATTTGTCTCCCTTCTTCTTCTGGCTCTACGGTTGAGAACATTCATTCTGTGGTGTTTTGCTAAATCATCAGTAAATGAATAAAGACACTTCCAGCTGCTTTTAGAACAACTTATATGATTAGTACTGAACACAAAACGTTCTCTGATCTGATGCTGGGTGAAGAGGATCATCTGAAGCCAAGCTAGCAGAGCTGCTAGAGCTGAAGAAGAAGAGCAAAGCTGGGTCCAAAAGCTGAATACAAGAACTTTGTTTTGTTCGTGTAATAATTTAAACCCTAGAATGAAAAAAAACAACAGAATGAAAGATGTGAGGGTGGGACGGTGGTAACTCCTGACAGATCTGAAGGTGCTGCTGTCCACATGTGAACACAGTGTTCCCACTAACAGCAGCAGCGTCCAGCCCTCATCCATGGCTCTGATCCAGATCAAACATGAGCGCTCGGGCCTGAAGGTTAACTTAGAGCAGGGGGATCGAACCCACTTACAAAAGGGGGCCACATTTTTTTCAAACTAAGGGCCGCTTTCAGAATCTACATCAACTCCAGTTAGAAACCCAACATCTATTCTTGGTTGCAGGTTCCTCAACAAGAGTTTGATTGGTCTCATTTGACATTCTCTGTTGGACTTTTGACATTATAATCAAATATTACTGAAAAAAATTAAAGGGATTAAAGTATTTTATATTTAAAATAACATCTTGGGGCCAGATACGATGTCAACGAGGGCCAAATTTGGCCCCCGGGTTTTGAGTTTGACACACATGACAGAGGATGTACAACTGATTATATCACTGATTTTAGTTGCACTTTGTAGCACTTTGAGATTTTTGTTAATGAAAAGTGTTACAAATTAAATTCATTATTATTATTATTATTATTATAACTGAATCGAAATTGTTTAGGTGACGTTAAAGCTACACTAACAAACTTTAAAAGAAAAAAGAAATTGCTCACAAACATGGCTCTGTGCTTAAAATGAGGAATAAAAAAAGATTAACTTGAGCTCAGTGCCGAGTAAGTTTGGGTTGAAATGACGTTCATATTCTATACATTCAACTAAACTACTCATATTCTATACATTCAA